GACTGAGGTGCCTAGAACCTGCTGCTGAGTCATAGGAGTGAGATATTCCTGGGCCAAACTACAAGGAAACTCCTTCTCTGGGGCTCCCTGTTTTGGCAGTCTGGTTAATAAGTCACCTGCCGGTGGCATGCCTAGGGAACCCAGCTTGGGGGCTCCCTCACATGCCAGGGTTACCTCAGTGCCAGAGAAGGTGGGCAGGGAGTTTTTTCCTACTACTTTCGAACCTGACTTCTTCAGAAAGGAACCAAGTAAAACATAGCAATCATTTGTATTTCCCAGCCAGAATTAATCACTTTTAACATGCTTATTTACCTCTAGTCTTTTGAAAAATGTATTTAGTTTTCATAAAGCATAAAATGAACATATATTTATTTCTTATAAAGAAGAGAGAGCAAAAGACTATGTTATCAATGAAGGTAAAGCACCTTCACTTCCATTTGAATTTCCTCTCTCTTCCCAGAGGGATCACCATTACATATGCTGGTAATCTCTCCATTCTTTTAAAAATACCGATTGCCAACCTACGCCACTACTTGGGGTGGATTTCCCCCCTCATTTTCCCCCAAAGGCGTCACACGGTGTGTGCTGTCCCTCCCAGAACAGCCCCTACTGTGCCTCTCTGCTGGGGCTGGGGAGCAGCCAGGCTCTTCCTTCCCCGCTGGGACAATGTGGCTGAGTCCACCTACCTGGACAAGGACCCTCATGCTCTCCATGGGTCTAGGACCTCATCTTCCTTCCAGCACACCCAGGCTGAGGCTCCAGGCTGCTGCCACTGCATGGCTCACAGAAAACAATGTCTCCATGAATTATGACAATGCAGGGGTGGAATACTATGCAACCACCAACAAGAACGAGCCAGCTCTCTCTGAGCAGATGCAGAGAGCTCTCTGTGAGTCAAGTGACTCCAAGGAGCTGCAGGGCCCTGGGTGGCTCAACACTTCTGATGGGCCGCAGGAAGCGAACAGAACTTGACTCTCGAAGACAGGTCTCAGGTCAGGGCGTGAGGAGAAGACAGCATTTTTTACTTTACATTTTCTGATCATTTGATTATTTTTTCCTAACTATCCAGGCATGACTGGCTTTTATTTCAGGACGATGAAATACACATCTGAAAACAGCAGCTAGCCCTCATCCGGAGGATCTGGGGCGGGGGGCCTTCACCTCCAAGAGGCTTTCCCCCTCGATGCTGCCTTGGGGATGAGGGGTCCCCTGTGGAGAGCCCGACTTCCAACAATGCTGTCCCCTCAACCTCCTCTAGGGGGAGCGCCTGAGCACCGCGCGCGGGTGAGCTCACCTGGGGACAGTGAACCAGGTTAAGGGGGCGGGTCAGCCCCGCGAAAGGCTTTCCTGTGGAGGCGGCCGAGGGGGTGGGCAGAGGGTCGGGGTCGGCACGGTCAGAGCCCGGGCAGGTTCCCAAATGGCCTGGGGAGCAGCCCCGGGGTCCCCGTACCAACGGGGAGTGGGGCACCGGTGCCTTGGCAAGTCAGGCTGCCTTCGTGGCCTCAGTTTCCTCCCCTGAAAAATGGGGGCAGTGAATCTGCCTCCCGGGATGTTGGGAGAAGGACAGAGGACCGTCCACTCGGCGGTGGTGACTCACTGGCTCTCCTGGGCTTCGCGGGGCCAGAGCCGGCGCCCACCCCACCCCGGCCGTCATGTACTGCGGTCCTGTGTCCGCGCTCACCGCAGACGCGTCCCACAAACGGTGGCGGGGGCTTCCGCCCTGACAACCCACTCTCCCTTACCTTCTCCACCTCCCCTTTCAGGAAGAAAGAAAATGCAAAGATGCTCACAGGTAGTTCAAAGGCACCCCCCCCCCGGGGGGGCTGCTAGCTCAGAGACCTCACCGCACCCCACTTCATGGGGAACCCTCCTTCCTAAAGAGGGAACCCAGAGACCTGCAGCTCAATGAGAGCATGGGGGTGCCAAGGCACACCAGCCTGAGAACGACCCCAGGTTCTAAGACAAACCGTACTGCAAGTGACGAATCCAGGTCACACAAGGCCACCACCCTTGCCCAGTGCTGCCCGGCAGCACAGTGACCCACAAGCGCCTCAAACTCTGGGCCGGGGTCCACTAGCTGCTCCAGCCTCCAACGTCCGTGGGGTGTCTCTATGTCGGCCGCTGCGGCCTGAGGTCAACACACTCAGAATCCAGAGGGGCTGGCCCCTCCTGTGCCCAGACTGTTCCCCAGGGAGTCACCCCTCCCCCCTGCGGGTCCCCGAGAGCACCTGGGGTGGCCCCACCTGTCCTGCCCCTGGCTCATCAGACACCTGGTCCAGGTGTGTCTTGGGTAGGGTGCATTCCTGACCTTGAGGTCAGTGGGGCGCCCCGTTTCCTGCAGAAATGTGGAAGGGGGACCCTCTTTCCTTCCCAGGACTCAGGCTGGAGAAGCTAGCTGGGACCTGCCGGGGCGTTATACAGGGTGACGGGGGCGGGGTGCCTGTCACTGTCCAGAGGGACACAGAGACCAGATATGAGAACCACAGGGACCAGAGTCACACGCTGCAGGGCCTGGATGCCCTTTAATGCCCCCTTTGAAGGGGTTTCTTCCCCTGCAACCAAGGGAAAAAAAAAACACAAGAACAAGACACAACCCGCTTCAGCGGCCCCTTCCCCAGCCAGCCCAGCCCAGAGGCCTGCGGAGGCGCCCTGCTGTTCCCCCTCCCAGGGCCGGGCCAGGAAGCCCAGCGCGCTCTCCCCTTATCTTCTGCAAGCCCAGCTGGGCATCCGCTCCGCCGGGCCTGGTGCTGCAGCAAATTCACAGGGCCGGACGCTGCTGTCGGCTATCTGGTTGTAAAGGTCTGCCTTATCTCCAGCCGCCTCTCACTGCCAGTCACTGGTTTATGCTTTTACGAGGGCAGTTTGCTTCTCCTGGAGAAAGAGGTGCAGTCTCCGGAGGCGCCTGGCAGTGGGGGTGGTGGGGGCCGCGGTTTCTTCCTTGTAAAGTGACGGCCCCGTGCCAGCCCTGGCTCAGCAGCTGCGTGGGCCCCCTGGGAACCCAGGGTGGGGGCAGAGGTGGAGACCCTGGAGGGCAGGGAGGACCCAGGTCAGCAGCCCCACCGCGAGGAGCAGAGCCGGGGGAGATGACGGAAGGGGACCCTCCGGGAGGGGGAACTCTGGGGTGCCCTTCCTGTTCCCCTTTCCATCCTCTGGTTCTCTTGACACACCTGCATCCCACCAGCCCACCCCCCACTGTCCTGCCTGCGGGGCTGGGGGACGGTGGGCCAAGTCCTGGGCCTGGAGGCTGGGGTTACACCCTTGCACGGTGCTTCCATCGTCCTCCCAGCCTCGGTTTCCTCCCCTCCACAGTGGGCGTAAGATGCTGGGCCCCCCACCTTGCAGGGTGGCCGTAAGGACCCACAGAACAGAGCAGCGTTGAGAGTTCTATCAACCAGCCTGTGAGGTCTGACTCACGCAGCATCCATCGTAGAAAGTTCTAGGAGGCTGATCCGTTGGTTCCTCCCCGCAGGATGTTTGCACTCTTGAGGCCGTCAGCGTGGGTCAGGCTGAGCCCCAGGGACTGTGTGTTCATCAGGTGAGAAGTTTCTAACTCCAGGACCCTGGATTCAATCTTTCAACAAATCACGTGCTGTGCATCTACTATGGGGCACACCCAGACAGGCTAAGGACCCAATGGAGACCAAAGCAAACAGCACCTCTAGGCTCAGGTGGGAGTGAACAGATGCTAAATGTGACAAATATAGAGACCATATGGTCCATTGTGTGGTGCTGAGAGCTAACCGGGAAGCCTCCAGAGGACGGGCATGCCCTGAGTGGGGGTGGTGGTTCTTGTTCAATCACTAAGTCGTGTCTGACTCTCCACGACCCCATGGACCACAGCACATCAGGCTTCCCCGTCCATCACCAACTCCAGGAGCCTGCTCAAACTCATGTCCGTTGAGGCGGTGATGCCATCCAACCATCTCATCCTCTGTCGTCCCCTTCTCCTCCCACCTTCAGTCTTCCCCAGCATCAAGGTCTTTTCCAAAGCGTCAGTTCTTTTCATCAGGTGACCAAAGCATTGGAGCTTCAGCTTCAGCATCAGTCCTGCCAATGAATATTCAGGGTTGCTCTCCTTTAGAATTAACTGGTTGGATCTCCTTGCAGTCCAAGGGACTCTCAAGAGTCTTCTTCAGTTGTGTGGTGTTGAGCACTAAACAGGGAACTTCCAGAAGATGGGCCTGCCTGTGACGGGAATGGAGCCTCAGTTTTCTTTCGGGTGGCCAGGGAAAGCCTCACCAGGTGTGTGACACCCGAGTCAAGACCGAAGGAGATGAGGAAATGAGATGTGGAGAGATTGGGAAGAGCAGTCGGCTCATGCAAAGGCCCTGAGGCAGGAGCCCTGTGTATTCAGAGAACGGCCAGAGGGCTGGAGGTCGGGGGTCAATGAGAAGGTCAGAAGAGGAGATGAGAGAGGTAAACGGCCAGCCTATCGACTTGGCTTTGACTCTGAGCGAGAAGGGGTCTGGGGGATTTTGCGCCCAGGAGAACTAATAGTCTACTTGCTTTTTGAAAGACCCCGCTGGCCACTGAGAGAGCAGCAGATGGAAGGGGCAGGACAGAAGTAGGGAGACCAGGTAGGAGGTTCTTGCAACATCTGAGCAAGAGTGGGTGACAGGGGGACCAGTGATAACAGCGGGGTTGCGGGGAGGGGCTGCAGGCTGGGACTTTGTAGGGGACGGAGCGGGGTTTGCCGGGGGATGCGCCTGGTGGGGTGAGACAGGAAGGGGAGCACTGTCCCGAGCCCTCACAGGGCTCATCACGTGCCCTTGACTCCTGGGATCCTCTCTGCCACGGAGGTGCGGTCGTCCGCACTTTCAGGATGGAGGGGCTGAGACGCATCGTGTCCACAGAGTCAAGACTCAATCCAGAGCCTGGGCGCTTGACCTCAAACCCACCGGCTGTGTGCGGGGTGAGCCTATCTCCTCCCGGGATGGGCAAACATCGCCTAGCGAAGCTGTGTCTGTCCACGCCCCATGTTTAGATGCCAGGGATCCTACCACCGTCCAGACGGCACTCTCTCCACTTATCCACGTGGAAGGCCAGGCCCTGCCCGGCACTCGCGAGGTCAGGGCTCAGCGGACCTTCTGTGAAGGGCTGGAGAGGGGACAGTTTTGGCTGCACGATCCTGTCTCACCTCTGTTTCCCACCACTTACAAGGGAGTCAGCCTCGACAAGTCAGGGAAGGGGAAGCCAGGCGCCAAGAAGCCTCGCTGATGGACACCGACTTGGAAGGCCGTGTTGCTTTCATGGGCTGTGAAATGTTCTACCTTTGATTTTTTTCGCCCATTAGAAAATGTAAAAGTCACTCTTAGCTCACGGGCTCTACGAAAAAGGTGGAAGAGGATTTGACCTGAGGCCGGGTTGGCAGCCCCTGACGGAAGTTATCACCCAAACTGGGACACTGGAGGAGGGGAGAGTCTGGTGTTAATTAGTGATGCAGATGGTGTGGGTCAGGCCCTCGGGGAAGCGGTAGGCGGTGGGCAGGGGGTAGGGGGTCGTTGGTAGGCAGGGGCCAGCATCCAGCCAGACACTGCAAAGGACCCGAGGTCAGGCCCAGTCCCGGCCCCTTCTGCCCACCTTCCTTCAGCCGCCCTCAGCCCCTCGTTGCCCCCACAGCAGATGATGAACTCCTGGGGTCGTCAGTTTCTTATAGAACATCATCCATCCCGTACCACTCACCAGGTACCACGCTGGGTCCCGCTGGCCCTTCCTCACTTCGTCCTCAGCCCACTCTGTGACCCACCCCGGGATGGAGGAGAAGCACTTTCTTTGATCTGCCCTCCGGCCGGGGGTGGGATGGGGACAAGCTGGGATGGCCTGGGGGTGCAGCGCCCACTGCAGACGCCCGTCTGCCAGGGTCCCTGCCCTCCTTTGCTTTCTCCTTCCTCCCACCGACCCCATGGCACTCCCCGCCGCCGCCCTGCACCAGGAGGACAACTTCCCACGAGGGGGTGGGAAGTCCTCCTTGAGATGAGGAGATGCTGGTGCCTGGCCTGGGGCTGCCTCAAGGACTGTGAGCAGCAGACAGTCTTAAGATCTCTCCTGGCTGGAGAAAAGAGGTGGATGGGGGTCTTCTGCTGGGAGGGGACCTGGAAGAAGCGGGTTTGGAGGGAAGTTGCTGGGTTCTGCTTTGCCCGTTCCAGCCGGGCTGGGGGCAGGCTCCACGCGGAGCCTCCAGCGGGCAGGTGGGTAGTGGGCCCAGAGCAGGGGAGGCCTGTGTGTCCACCCTCCTTGCTGTCAGGCCTCCACCTCTGACTCTCCTTTCCCGGCGCCTGGACACTGTCCTTCCTGCCCCGCCGCCAGCAGCCGTGCTGAGACTCCGTGGGGGGCTGCCCACAGAGCCCACACCTTGGACACTCCCTGGGATGCTGGGCATACAACTGGTGCTCAGTACACGTCTAATGAAGGAGAGTCCAGCCACGGAGACCCAGTGGACACAGCAGGCTTCTGGGCAGCCTTCTGGCCAGTGGGGACTGGCCTGGTGTCCACTCTGTCACTCCCCTGTCCTGACCAAGAGCTGAAAACAGCTGCTGTCCCCCCCCCCCCCAGTCACTGCCCCCAAGCGGCCTCCGTGAGGGGGGCGGGTGAGGGATGCCCTCCAGGGACTCTGGTTCCCAGGCAGGCGCTGCCCCCTGGTGGACAGTCTCCGGAACCGCAGGGTGGGCCTCTCCACTTCTTCTAGGGCCCCAGTCTCTAATCCAGACAGACCCCCCAGGGGCTGGGGGGAGGGGGCCCTTGTCTAAGCAGGGACCCTGCTGGAATCTGTCTCCTGGGGCCGCAGGGTGTCAGCGGCTGCCCTAGGGGACCCCAGGTGAGCACTGGAGGCCCATTCAGCTGTCAGCGGCCCTCACAGGGGTCCGAGAGCCCCCTCTCTGGGGCAGGGCCTTAGGGCGTCCAGCGGTGTCCCGCCCTCACGGCCAAGCAGAGGCTACTCGCCGGCCCCAGCCGCTCAGTGCTGGGCCAGGTGCCGGGGGCAGCCCCCTTTCTGAACTCCTAGGGCGTCCAGCGGTGTCCTGCCCTCACGGCCAAGCAGAGGCTACTCGCTGGCCCCAGCCGCTCAGTGCTGGGCCAGGTGCCGGGGGCAGCCCCCTTTCTGAACTCCTAGGGCGTCCAGCGGTGTCCTGCACTCACGGCCAAGCAGAGGCTACTCGCCGGCCCCAGCCGCTCAGTGCTGGGCCAGGTGCCGGGGGCAGCCCCCTTTCTGAACTCCTAGGGCGTCCAGCGGTGTCCTGCACTCACGGCCAAGCAGAGGCTACTCGCCGGCCCCAGCCGCTCAGTGCTGGGCCAGGTGCCGGGGCAGCCCCCTTTCTGAACTCCCCCCCACACACAGCCTGCACCCGGGGCCCTGCTCGAGTGTGGGAACGCGGGCTACGCTCACACCTGTGCCAGCAGGTGAAGCAGCTGTGGCTCTGACCCAGGCCGAGGACCCGAGGCTCCCCGTCTCCCGTCGGGACGGGCACCGGGAAAGCCCAGCCGGTGAGGGAGAGAGCCCTTCCCGGCTCCGGCCTCGGGGACAGGCGAAACGAAGAGCCTCCCACACTCGAGAGGGCGGGAGCCCGCCCGCAGCCTGCGCCCCGGTCCCCGGAACCCTCAGCCTCGCCTCCCGCCCGGCTCCAGAAGGGGACAGCGGTGTCCAGAGCCCGCCCCTCCCAGGGAACAAGTCTCTGAGGACAGGCGAGCCCCCCAGTGCAGCCAGGAGCCCCTTGCCTCAGCACATGTTGGCCCGAGCGCAGGCAGTGGGCAGCCTGGACGGGGTGAGCCACTCAGGGAGGCTGCTGTGAGCAGAGGGTCCTCAGAGAGAGCAAGCCTGGGGCCTGCGGTGGGGCTCCACACCCTACAGTTTATGAGGGGCTCCTCCCAGGGGCCGTGTCCTCCAAGCCTCGCACCCACCGGAGGGGGTGGGGGAAGGGGTGGGCTTGTTGCAGCTCCATTTTTCAGATGAGGAAACTGAGGCCGAGGGCAGCCAGGCAGCTGTGTAAGAACTGGGCGGGGCGGGCACGTGCAGGCCCCTGCGGGGTGGGGCCAGGCTTGGAATTTCCTGTCGCTCCTCACCCTGGAGTGGTGTCTAAGGCCAGGCGGTGCCAGGCTGGGAAGTCTCTCAGGAACCTCCACGCCCGCCACACCTGGTATTTTTATTCCCGTGTAAGTCTGATGCCAGGAGAACGCGGTTAAGGCCTCTCGGTTGCTTTCCATGCCCAGGTCAAGGGACCCTTATCTGGCGAGATTTTATCTGCATGTCCTCCGGGTCCTGGAGCTGGCTCCTGGAGGTACAGGAGGCCCGGGCGGGCGATCAAGGTGCCAAGGATTGTCTGCAGGGTGGGGCCTCTGTCCCCGCCCCCCAGGAGGCTGCCCCACGAGGCCATGCCGCCTGGTTCTGTGTGTCATCTGCCTGCACCCCACGGCACTGGAGGTGTCAGGAAGGAGAGCAGAGAGGGGAGGCTGGGGGAGGAAGGCCAGGTTTTCCAGGGCTCCAGGGAGCTGCTTCCATGCCGGGTCCCACAAGCTGGCTCTGAGCTTCCTGGCAGCCAAGGCAAATGGGAGAAGCATCGAAGGAAGGTGGAGGGGAATAGGAGATGGGTCTCATGGACAGAGCCTAGAACATTCCCCAGATGGTGTCTTTTCACTAATCCGTCAGCCTTCCCTGACATGAATCATCTTCCCAAAGAACGAGACAGAGCAAATGTCACGTTTCACGGCGAGGCAGGCGTGTGCACCCCCATGTAGCTATTCACACATCCTTTTGTCCAGCAGACACCCGCTGGGACCTATGGTGTCCAGGCCTGCGGTGGGGGCCGGAGAGATGGCATCAGTAAGGCAGGCATGGTCCTAAACCTTGAAGCCGCAGTCCCGACCCTGGGGACCCCCCATCTCAGAGGAAGATGACGGCCAGCAAATGATGCAGAGAAGTGATCACGTGTCATCAAGCATTTGCCACCTCATCCTCAGACCTGGAGGAGTCGAGGTCCGGCCACAGGGGAAATGAGAGGACAGGGTGAAGAAGGGCCAGGCCGGGCCTGCATCAGAGTCGGGGGCCTGGGCAGCTGGGGACTGGGGCTGGGGCCCAGAGAGGTGTGCCCAGGGAAGGGGTGCACTGGGTCCCAAACGTCCAACCCCCCTACAGACTGAGGGCCCCACCCGCTGCCAGACGCCTGCCCATCGTTCCATCTCTTTGAGCCTCAGCTTCCTCGTCTGTATGAAGAGCATGTGTTAATACTGACTGGGGTTCTTGGCCTCCCTTAATCAATAGAAATTGATCAGAGGCTGGACAAGAAATTCCGGCAAGGCTTTATTGGGGTCCCTGCTGCAGCAGGGGGAGCGAGAAAAGGAACAGGTTCCCTGCTGTTTCCTGGGGTGTCAGGGGGATGAGCTAGTTCCTCATATGGGGGCGAGGGTAGGGCTGTACCTAGGGGTCGGGCTGGAGGGGTGGCGTAGGTGGTCTGCCCACCCCTTTGGGGGTGGTCCTGTGTGGGGGGTGGTGCGTTGGTAGGGGGGCGGCCTGCTTTTGCTTCCTGCTTTTCAGAAGTGGCATTTACGTTCTTTGGTCTTTTTGTACCTTTTGTCCAGAATTTGCCCCAGCTGCGCATGCACACAGCAGTGTTTCATCCCCGATAGTTTCTTTGTATTTTGTTGCGCCAGGAAAGGTGTGTCCAGGTGCAAGCATCGCAGCAAACGGTCCCAGATCCCAGTCCATCTCAGCAAGAATTCTGCAGTTAATACAGGCGAGGTGCTGAGCTTGGGGTCTGGGGTGCGCCGCGGGTACAGAAAGCATGAGCTAAGGCTGTTTCTGGGGACCCCCCCGCCGTGTCTGACATGGGGCATGAAGTGTCTTCTGCTCTGTTCCCTCCCAAAATTCAAGCCCAGCGCAGGCTCACAGCCCTGTGTCAGGATGGTTTGGGGGATGAAAATGGAGATCTGTGGGTCGGAGGGTGTCATGTGGGTGAGGACTCTGCTCCACGGCCCGGGGCACCTAGGAGACATCCCTGCACGTGGAGGGGCTCCTGCCACGCCCCATGATTGGGGCGGGGGAGGGAAGACATCAGGAACTGTCAAGAATTATCAGCACTAGTTCTGCGGGAGCAAAACTGCATCTTCAC